ATTCAAAGTTCAAATCCACACTCAGAAAGTCACGTAACCTCCAAGAGTTCCAGGTTCTCATCAGCTAAATGGAATAGATGCCTCCCTTGCTATGATCTTTCCAAGAAGTATTTTGGCATTACATACTATAATCCCTAACCGCACTCCAAGAAATCTATTTTATAGAAGTCATCAGGGCCAGCGCCGCGGCTCACTAGGCTAATCCTCCGCCTTGCGGTGCCGGCACACGGGGTTCTAGTCCCGGTCGAGGCGCTGGATTCTGTCCCAGTTGCCCCTCTTCCAGGCCAGCTCTCTGCTGTGGCCCGGGAAGGCAGTGGGGGATGGCCCAAGTGCTTGGGCCCTGCACCCACATGGGAGACCAGGAGAAGCACCTGGCTCCTGCCTTCAGATCAGCACGGTGCGCCGGCCACAGCGCGCCAGCCGTGGTGGCCATTGGAGGGTGAACCAACGGCAAAAGGAAGACCTTTCTCTCTGTCTCTCTCTCTCACTGTCCACTCTGCCTGTCAAAAAAAAAAAGTCATCAAAGGTATGTGGATTTAAAATTTGTGAGCTTCAAATAAAAAAGAGGGGCCATGGCCTGTGGAACCAGCATCCCACGTGGATGCCAGTTCAAGTTTCAGCTTCTCCATTTCCAATCCAGCCTCCTGATAATGTGCCTGGGAAAGCAGCAAAGGATGGTGCAGGTCTGTGTGCCCCTGCATAGACACTGGAGACCTGAATGACACTCTGGGCTCCTGCCTTCAGCTTGGCCCAGCCCTGGTTGTTGCTGCCTTTTAGGGAGTGAACCAATGGATGGAGGACCTACCCCTCCACCTTCTGCCTCTTCCTCTCTGTAATTCTTTCAAATAAATAAACAAATCTTAAAAAAATTAAGAGAAAAAATATAATTTGTGGGCTTAACTATTATAACCAGCCATGAAAAGTTCACAGTATTTAGCAACTCTCAACTATACTGAAGTATAAACTTCAATGGAGTACTGTGAGTCTGGCGTGTGTGAGCAATGCACTGAGTAAGCAAGAGCAGCCACCCACCAAGGACCTGATTCTCAGCTAGCTTCCTTGTTCTCTGGCAGCCCATCGAAAGAAGCAGAAGAGGCAAAAGAAAAAATAAGGTTTCTTTCATGGAGCAAAAATTGTGTCAGGGTGGTAACAGAAACACAGGTCTCACCATAGAAGTGTAATTAAAGAGGGGATTGGCCCATAAACTGATTTTCATACTTGTACACCTTGAATGCTTTTTAAAAAGATTTATTTATTTATTTATTTATTTGAAAGGTAGAGTTAGAGGAGGGAGAGAATCTTCCATCTGCTGATTCACTTCCCAAATGGCTACAAAGGCCAGGGCTATGCCAGGAGCCAAGAACTCTTCCTGGGTCTCCCATGTGGGTGGCAGGGGGCCCAGGCACTCAGGCCATCTTCTACTGTTTTCCCAGGTGCTTTAGCAGAGAACTGAATCAGAAGTGGAACAGCTGGAACTTGAACCAGTTTGCCTATGAGATGCTGGCATTGTGGTGTGTGGCAGCTTAACCCACTATGCCACAATGCTGGTCTCAAACCTACAATTCCTAAATGTCCCAGTGGTACTCCTCATAAATGTCAAGTGTCTGCTAGTCAAGGAAGTTTACCACAATAATGCTTTTTCTTTTTAACTAGCATGAATATTAAGAAGCAAAACTTTGGGCCATTGTTGTGGTTACCAGGTAAAGCTGCTGCCCACAAGACTGGCATCCCATATTGCACCAGTTCAAATCCTGGATGTTCCACTTCCAATCCAGCTACCCCGCCAATGGTCTAGGAAAAGCAGTGGAGGATGGCCCAGGTGCTTTGGCCCCTGCTACCATGTGGAAGATCTGGAGGGAGATCCTGGCTCTGGGCTTCAGCCTGGCCCAGTGCTGGCTATTGAGGCCAACGGAGGAGTGAACTAGTGGATGGAAGCTCACTTGCTTGCTCCCTCTCGCTCTCTTTCTTTCTCCCTCCCTTCCCACATGTCCTCCTCTGTAAGCTTCAAATAAAAAAAAAGATGCAAAACCTTTCCAGGTCCCCAAAGTTTACTCACCTCATGCTATTATTTATAATATTAAAAAGTGCAAATAGGGGCCTGCATTGTGGCACAAGTTAGGCTGCTGCTGCCTGCAATGTTGGCATCCTATATGGGCGTCATTCTGAGTCCTGACTACTCCATTCCTGATCCAGCTCCCTGCGCATGTGCCTGGGAGAGCAGTGGCAGATGGCTCAAGTTTTTTGGCCAATGCACCAACATAGGAGACCCAAATGGATTTCCAGGTTCCTGACTTCAGACTGGCCCAGCCCCTGTAGTTGTGGTCATTTTGGGGAGTGATCCAATGGATGGAAGATTGAATGATCAATCAATCAATCTTCTCTCTCACACCCCCCCACCTTTCTCTGTAACTCTGCCTTTCTAATAAATAAAATAAACCCTTTTTAAAAAAGTACAAATAATATAAGTGTACACCCATTAAGGAAATGACCAAGTAACTGGTAACAAATATATGTGGTGGGATATCATCAGAAACCAGGTTTAAGTAAGCATTTAAACACATGGCAAATAACCACATAACATTGGGTAGGAATAAAAGGTTGCAAAATGGTATTTTTAATACAGATTCTACTCTATAAAAATATATGCTTATATTTCAAGTCAAAATATGGGAGTTAATAAAAATGTGCAGTGCATTGTCAAACTGTATACTCATAGATGACATTCATTCCCTTCTTTATTCTTTTACTATACTTTTTTAATAATGAGCATATCTCACCTATATAATAAGGAAAAATTAAAAACATTATTCAAAAGAAAAATACATGGCCGGTGCCACAGCTCAATAGGCTAATCCTCCACCTGCGGTGCTGGCACACTGGGTTCTAGTCCCAGTCAGGGCACTGGATTCTGTCCTGGTTGCTCCTCTTCGAATCCAGCTCCCTGCTGTAGCCAGGGAGTGCAGTGGAGGATGGCCCAAGTCCTTGGGCCCTGCACCCGCATGGGAGACCAGGAGAAGCACCTGGCTCCTGGCTTCGGATCAGCGCGGTGCGCTGGCCGCAGCAGCCATTGGGGGGTGAACCAACAGAAAAGGAAGACCTTTCTCTCTTTCTTTCTCTCTCTCTCTCTCTCACTGTCCACTCTGCCTGTCCAAAACAAAAACAAACAAACAAACAAAAAAAAAAGAAAAATACCTTTCAGGTTTGTGGGTAGATTAAATAATTTATGCAAAATCCTTGTCATAGTGTCTGGCACACAGTAAGCACTTAGGAAGCATTTATTCTCTGTTCCCAGAGTAGAGTTAGGGTCTTTATATTATAAGCAAAAATTCTCCAGGGCTGAACTACACATGTCCCATACAATCCAAAGGGCAACACACAATAGCTTTTCTCATGAACAGTCATTCATTCAAAACTGTACCCAATATCCATTACATATTTAGCACTGAACTAGCTCCAGCTAGCCTAATGAATGACAGACATATTTATAACTATGTTAAAATTATTTGTTTTTAACAAGATGCATACAAAATTTAATGTCAAACCCAGAAAGATTTCTCTAACAGGGGAGGTGTTCTATGAGTTGTAAAGAGAAGGAAATTAATGAGAATGGCATATACAAAGAGGCAGAAGAGAGTACAGAATTTTCCCAGACCTGCAGGTAGTTCAGTCTTGCTGGGACATAATCAAATGAGGAGGAGTGGCAGGAAATGATAGAACAATGAGATCACAAAAGGTCTTGTTTTTCACACAAAAGTTACTAAACTTCATCCTATAGGGGAAACACTGACAGAAGAATGTTTACCTGAGGAATTACTTGATCAGCACTAGCAAAGATAGCTAGAATCCTGAAAGACATCCCCAACTTACTTCCAGGGCAAGGGAAAAGACCCCACCTGCCAGGTTTGTTCCCTCTTAAACAACAAGGGGCAATAAACAGAACTCTGCACCTGGCACACAGTAAATAGTCAATAAAGATCAGTTAAATATGAATTGGGATGCACTGAGTGTGGGCAGTCAGTCCCTGCTGAGGGTCAAATTTTAGTTTAGTCTTGCACATGACAACAGAACAGCTCCTCTGCAAGGGGCTAATGACAGCTAGTGACAACTAACATGCATCAGGAGGGTGGCACCACAGAGTGTAAAAATTCCCCTCATGGTTATCTTTCCATAGCTGGGATTTTAATCCCAATAATGGGATAATATTACACTTTTATTCCACACACTAACCGCTCTGGAATCCTCAGTGACAGGTGCTTATGGGCACACATGGTTAACTTGAGGGAATTCATTAGCAATTTTACTCCTGCTGTTTTACCCAACGTCTCTTTTGCTTAATTAAATTTAGTTGGATGGTTCTGCAGATAAGTACTGTAAATACTATGGCATTTCTGCTTCCAAATTTATTGAGTTCGGGCAAAGTGCTTTATATAGTCCAGAGGATATATTTGATGCACGGTATAGGAAGAGACAATGAGGCTCAGAGAAGCAAAGCAACTTGCCCAAGGTCACTCTGATAGTAAGTGCAAAGCCATGGCTCCAATCCATGTTTGTTGGACTCAAATATCTCAAAAATGCAGTACTGTCTCCCCTGAAGCCAGTGTCTAAGGCAAAATACAAGTACCAGAATACAAAAATGACATTTTCTTTGTGGCTGGAGAGAAAGAGACTCAAATATGTTTTTTTAAAAAAAATTTCAAAAGAAGGGTGCAAAGAAATACATTGGGGAAAACAGAGAAAAAGGGGAAACCAGAGATTAAGGACCTGGCTAGGCCCTGGTTTGCAAGGAGGGAGGAAGGGAGGAAGATGGGAGGGAGGGAGTGAGTGGGTGAGTGAGTGAGTGAGCTAGCAAGCAGGGTACTGGGATGGTAATTAATTATTGGTAGTGGTGGTTGGTTAGAGGGGTGTTTCTGAGCCTGAGCGGGAACCTAAAACAGAGCTGAAGAAAGGAGAGCGAGCAAGTGAGCCACTACACCTTGTCCAGCCTGGCCTGCCCTCCTTACCTGCCGTGAAACCAGTCCTGGCACATGTCACACTCAATCATGAAGCGGGTCACATCGTAAGGCAGCCGGCAGAGGCAATACACGGGCACCGAGGCCATCTTCCCCCTGCCTGGGAGCGTTCCGTGGAGGGCCAGGTTCGTGATGGCAGGAGGGGCCGGAGGCGGCAGCGGCGGCGGCGGCGGCGGCGGCACGCGTCCTCTCTGGACGAAGGCTAGGCACAAACAACACTTTTTACAGAGTGAATCAGGTGTCCCCCTCCCCCGCCGCCCCCGTCCCCGCCCTCGCCCTCGCCCCCGCCCCCGCCTCCAGCCAGGGTTCCCGAGCGGCGGGCGCGTCCGGCGGCGGGATGCAACCCAGCTGGCGCGGCTGTAGGGGGCCCCGGAGCAAGTCCGCCCGGCCTATAGAATTTCTTTCACACGGAAAGAGCGTCGGGCGCTTGGCCGTCCAGGCTCCCCGCCCCCCACCCCCCCCCACACCCCACCTCCCCGGGCCCCAAGTCCGTGATAACTTCTTTCCGGGTTTCAGGATAATACCTGACGCCTTTTCAGGAAGGCTTTTAATCCCTCACGGAAAACCCTTCCTCCCCCTTCCCCCCTCGGGGGGCTCGCTTTTATGGGGAGACAAAACCCCAGCCTAAAGAATGAGGCTCGGGGTGGGGTGGGGGTGTGCCTCGCGGAAAGCCCCTTCTTTCACACACCCCCCAAAATAGAGGCAGCCTTGAAAAGTCTGCTCGGGTTACTCGGAAATTATCTCAAAGCCTTCGGGAACAAGGCAGAGCCTACTGGGCGCTCAACTCCAATCACAGTTCTGGGGTCGCGTTTGCTGAGTTTAAATGATCCCTTCCGTCACTCTCAGTCTATCCGTCCGCTCCCGACCCGTCAGGAGTCTCGTCACCCTCCCCACCCCCCAAAAGGAAAGGGATCCCAATTTCAAAACTGATCAGCTCGTCCCCTACTTGAAAAATGGCACGGTTCTCGTTGCACCCCTCAAACTAAAAACCATCTCTTTCCCCAAACCCCGAAGCTGGGTAGAATCTCCTCAGTCTCCCGAAACTAAGCATGGATTGTTTCTTGTCGCTCCAAAACTGGCAGGCATCTCCTCACAGCCCCCTGAAACTCATCAGCGTTTCCGCGTCCCTCCGCCCCCCCCCCCCCCCCCGCCGCCACAAATTGACAGGGATCTACATCATCCTAGAATCTGAAACTGACAGGAATCTCCTCACAGCCCCCGAAACTTACGAGGATCGCCTCACGCCTCCCCAACTGACAGGAACCTCCTCACGTCCCCAAACCTGACAAGAACGTCTTCAATCCTGAACCGTACAAGGGCTCCTCACGCCCGCGGAGCTCAGTCCCAGCGACACGCCGGCGGCCGGGCTCGCTCCGCGGCGGCGCGGCGCCTCGCTCAGCGGAGGCTCGCCGGGCAGTTCCGGCCCCAGCGGCGGCGCGCGCCGAATTCTGGGAGAGACGCCGTAACGCAGCAAACCTTGCTCGCTTTTCCCCTCAAGCCACCCCCCGGGTCGCGAGGTGCTGCCGCCCGCAGGGATTCAGGAGAGCTTTCTCCACAGCACACCCCCACCCCACCCCCCGGCCCGGCCCGTTTGGGCCTACTGGAAACCACGGTTCAGGCCTAGTCCAGCGGCCGCTTCCCCCCCCAACCCCCACCCCACCCCACCCCGGCCAACGGGCTAGTGGCGTTGTCGCTGAGCCGGCAGCAGATAGCAGCGAGCAAATCAGCGAGGAATGAAATGAACCGGCCCCTAGGTCTGAGAAAGACGATCCAAAAAGTCACCGGCAGAAGCCCGGTGGTGGTGGTAGACAATTCAGGGGAGTCAATAAAGTTTATTCAAAACAACGAGGAAGTTGGGGAGGAGAAATATGAGGTAAACAGCTACCATATTGAGAGTGGCGGCACGGCCGCCGAGAGGCGAGCCGGCCGCCATCTTATGAAGGCCGGGCATGCGAGGTAACCGCGGTGGAGGCGGGGAGCAGCGCGCCGGCGACTCCCGCGTGACGTAATCGGGGGCGGAGCAGCACCTTGAGAAAGGAGGGCGGTGTTCAGCTACCTTTAGACCCGCTCGTCTCTTAAAGGTGCCCAATAGCCGCCGAAGACCTTGAGCCAAGAGGCGGAGAAGCCGCCATCTTAGGCGAGGCAGGCGTTTGGTTCCATTTTGAGTGGGGCCAGAAATTTCCTAGCCTTCCTCCTCCTCTGGGCACGCAGGGAGTTAAGCAGTTCTGTCACACACACACGCTCGCGCTCGCTCTCGCTCTCGCACACACTCACACACACGCACTCCTCCTCCTCAGCCTTCTCCTCCTATGAGAAGAGGTGAACTCCACGACTCCAAACTACAAAATTAATAGGCGACGGGGGCGGGCTGCAGCCGGGGTACAGGCAGAGTAGTCCCAGAGGCTCCCGTTCGTTGCGCACCTTCAGCGGCCCCATAAGCTCTTTCCCACGGTCTCCATGTCGCTTGTTCTTTACCCTGTGAGGGAAGCTCTGTCGTTACCCCGAAATACAGCTTGAGAGAAGCCTGCTTCAGAAGCGGGAAGTTAAACCTTGCGCCTTCTGCCACCTCGGCGTTTCAACTTCATCCCCTCCCTCTGTGTTGCTTGGCTCCTCCCTCTGAACTCTTTTGCATTGACCCTGTTACTCAGTTCAAATTGGGTTCATGGATTTTGCTTCACCTGTTCCAAGATTTTCTGACTGCAGCCTGAGGGGGTGGGATTACAAGAGAGGTTGAGTGAATCCAGCTCAAAACACCTGGTCGTGGTTTTCAAAAGCACTCTAGAAATTAATCTAGTTCGCTTAATAGACCTCCTTCTTAAAGGGCCCCAATACTTAAAAAAAAATGTGGGGTTAGCATCTTGGCGTAGCAGGACTCGGCCTGTAGTGTGGGCACCTGTATGGGCACCAGTTAGCACCCTGGCTGTTCCACTTCTGATCCTGCTCTCTGCTATGGCCTGGGACAACAGTGGAAGATGGCCCAGGGGCTTGGGCCCCTGCACCCACGTGGAAGACCCAGAAGCAACTTCTGGCTTCGGCCTGGCCCAGCTCTGGCTGTTGAGACCATTTGGGGAGTGAACCAGCAGATGGAAGACCTTTCTGTCTTTCCCTCTCTCTGTAACTCGACCTCCCAGATAAGTAAATCTTTTAAAAAAACAGAAAATTGTGTGCGTGTGCATATGCACAGTGGCGTACAGCAATTTCCTAATCAGTGCCCTTTGAGTTATGTTCTGACGATACTCATAGTGACGACAGTGTGTTAGGTCCTGGAGTACTTGTACAATGATGAAAAGATTTCCCTCTGCAGTGGGAAATAACAAGCCAGGGCAGGAAACAAGTTTGCAAGTATGCAATTGGAATGGAAGACCCAGTAAGCACACAAATACCTCATGCAAAGAGCAAAGTGAAGCTACGAAACAGCTGGGGCAGTGTGTGTAGGGGGTGGTTCCTGGTTCAGCAGGTTAAGCTGCCACCTTGGACACCAGCCTCCCCTATACCCACATTCCCTAGGAGAGTGCCTGAGTTCAAGTCCTGACTACTCCCAATCCAGCTCCCTCCTAGTACACCTAGAAGTCAACAGGTGATAACCCAAGTGCTTAGGTTTCCGCAAACTACGTGCAGGAATTTGGGGGAAGTGAGTCAACAGATGAAAGATGGCTCTTTTCTCTCTCTCTGTCACTCGGCATTTCAAATAAATAAACAAATAAGATAAAAGAAAGAGCCTCAGAAACTGTTTGCTGCGGCTAGGAAGACGTCAGGAAGATTCGGAGGCTACAGAAATAAACAAGAATAAGTACATAAAAGGATCAACATGTACAAATGCATGGAGGCACATACATTTCCCTAAAGATATTGACTATTGTTGAAACAAAGAGGAAGGACAAAATATAGGTAGGAAGTCAAACTAAGTAAAGAGGGCAAGAAAGATTGCAAAAAATGCAAGAGTTTAGATTTTATCCTGAAAGCAGTAAGAAACCAGTGAAGGGTTTTCAGCAGGAGTAACTAAGTCACACTTGTGTCTTAGCCAGAGGAAATTCCAATTTTAGTGGGATCTGAAGCTTACAGTTTGGGGGAGGGAGGATGTCTTAAAGAAAAGAATAGGTGTAGGGAGTAGGTGGGCCCATTTGACCCAGCAGTCAAGACCCTACTTGGGGAGCCCACCCTGCGGCGTACTAAGTTAAGCCTCTGCCTACGGAGCCAAAATCCCATGTGGGCGGCCAGTGTCCCAGCTATTCCTCTTCCAATTCACCTATCTGCTTAAGGCCTGGGAAAGCAGTGAAAGATGGCCCAAGTGCTTGGGCCCCTGCATCCATGTGGGAGACCTGGAAGAAGCTCCTAATTTTGTCTTAGCCCAGCTCTGGCCTTTGCTCCATTTGGGGACTGAACCAGCAGTTAGATCTGTCTCTCCTTCTCTCTGTAACTCTACCTCTCAAATAAATAAATAAAATAGTAAAAAAAATATTATTTATTTGAGAGGTGGAGTTACAGACAGTGAGAGGGAGAGAAAGAGAGAAAGGTCCTCCTTCCGTTGGTTCACTCCCCAAATGGCCGCAACGGCCAGAGGTGTGCCGATCTGAAGCCAGGAGCCAAGTGCTTCTTCTTGGTCTGCCATGCGGGTGCAGGGGCCCAAGGACTTGGGCCATCTTCTACTCCTTTTCCAGGCCACAGCAGACAGTTGGATTGGAAGAGGAGCAGCTGGGACTCGCACTGGCACCCGGATGGGATGCCAGCGCCACAGGCAGATTATCCTACTGCGCCACAGCAGCGGCACCAATAATCTTTAAAAAAAAAAAAAAAAAGCACCCTACTTGGGACTCTGGAATCCCATATCATAGTGCTTGTTTTAGAGTCCTGGTTCTGTTTTGGATTCTAGCTTCCTGCTGATGCAAACCCTGGGAGGCAGCAGGTGATGGCTCAAGTAGTTGAGCTCCTGCCACCCACATGAGACACCTGGATTGAGTTCTGGGCTCCTGACTTCAGCCAGCCCCTGCTGTTGGGGACATTTGATGAGTGACAGATCTTTCTCTGTCTCTGTATATTTCTCTCTGCCTTTCAAATAAAATGATAATAAGTGGCATGTTTTTGAAGTTCTTTTTTTAAAAAAAGAAATATAGACTTATGGATACAAAATTAGATTCAAAGGTGAGCAAGAAGAGTATTTCTAGAAGCAACTTCTACACCTGGGTAATATGTGTGACTAGAAGTGATATAAACCACATATAAATGTCTGACAAAACTCAAACTCTATTCCCCAAAGCAATGTTCACTTAAGTCATAATGCTATGTAATGCAAGGGAAAGTATGGTCAGGTTCTCAGTGGAAAGGGCAGTTTGAATCGATTGAAGTTTAAACACATTTTGAAACATTATAGGGGCCAGCGCTGTGGTGTAGCAGGTAAAGCTGCCACCTGCAGTGCCTCCATCCTATATGGGTTTCCAGATATGAATGAGACTCTTTTTTATGATTCATTTATTTATTTGAAAGTCAGAATTACAGAGACAGATGGAGAAAGAGAGAGAGAGAGAGAGAACCTTCCATCCACTGGTTCACTCCCCAAATGGCTGCAAATGCTAGGGCTAGCTAGGGCTGGGCCAGGCGAAAGCAAGGAGCCAGGAGCTTCATCAGGGTCTTCCATGTGGACACCAGGGGGCCCAGGGACTTGGGCCATCTTGCACAGCTTTCCCAGGTGCATTAGCAGGGAGCTGGATTAGAAGTGGAACAGCCAGGACTTGAACTGGCATCCATAGGATTGCAGCTAGCACCACAGCACCAGCCCTGAGACTCTATTTATTCATTTATTTTGAAAGCCAGTTACGGAGAGGGAGTGACAGAGAGAGACTCTTCTATCCACTGGTTCACTCCCCAGATAGCCGCAATGGACAGTGCTGGGCCAGGCCAAAACCAGGAGCTTCATCTGGGTCTCCCACATGGGTAGCAGGAGCCTGAATAGTCAGGACATTCTCAGCTGCTTTTCACAGGACATTAACAGGGAGCTAGATCAGAAGCAGAGTAGCTGGGACACATGGGATGCCAGTGTTGAGACAGTGGCTTTATACACTATGCCACAAGATCTATTCATTTATTTGAAAGGCAGAGTTACAGAGAAAGAAGGAGAGACAGAGTGAAAAAGAGATCTTCCATCTGCTAGTTTACTTCCCAAATGGCTAAAATCCAGGAGCCAGGAACTCCATCCAGATCTCTTACATGGGTAGCAAGGGCCCAAGGACTTGGGCCATCTTCTGCTCTCCCAGGTGCATTATCAGGGGACTGGATCAGAAGTGGAGCAGCTGGGACTTGAACAGGCACTCATAGGATGTTAGTGTCACAGGTGGCAGCCTAACCCGCTGTGCCACAATGTGGCCCCAAAAGATGCTTAAGGAGTATACAATCTAATGAGGGAGACAAGGGAAAATGAACAAAGGCTGAGAAAGATCAAACTTTATGTGCTACCTGAAGTATGAGCAACTTGTGTGTGAACAAAGAGTTATAAATCAAACATGTCCAGTCAGTGTGTCAGGAAAGGCTTGACAGGACGTAGCATTTGACCACATACAGTGGAGTGTCTACAATTTGGATATTTGTTCCGCTATTAAATGTCCCCCCAAATACCC